AATGAAAAATTAACAAAAATAAATTTTTTAGTAGGTTTTTCTTTTCTTTTTAGGATTTTCTTTATTTTCCTCTATCGCGTTTTCATAAAACCATCTGTACTCTTCGGGAACAAATTTTATTTGGTCTCTTAAATTTTCCAGTTTTTCCAAACTCAAACCACCAGTTTTATTTTCCAGTCTTCTTGGTCTATATTCACTTCTGGTCAGATGTGCTGTCCTTTTTTTTCTTAAATCTACTTGCTGAAATGGCATGTAGTCATTAAGACATGTCTTATAGAGATAGAATCCAAATTCGTCCACTCTTATCCATTTTACATTATCACGAAAATTAATCTTTTCATTTGAACTGTTTGTTGTCTTTTTACATAAATAGAGCTTCGTTAGCAGATCTTCAAAGTCGTAGAAAAAATTCTCCATATTTACACAAATGCTACCTTTTGTGCTTGCCGACGTGATAATGTTACGATATTGATCTGGAATAAAAATTGACTGATGTTTTCTCAGAACTTTTTCTATCCTTCCAAAGTCCCTGTCAGAATCTAAATAACTGTGGCCCACTTCAGGAAATTTGTGCTCTATTATTTTAAAATATCCATTTAAAATGAGATATTGATATAGACCTACAATTATAAAGTTTTTGTTCTGACCAGAACATGAATCTGACCATATGATCAAATGATTAATATGGGGATTTTCTTCTTTTAAAAGCTTACAAAATCGAAACAGACAACTCGCTATTTCAGTACTACCTCGATTAGCTACATCTTCGGTCCACGTAAAAAAGTAAGATTTTGATCCTGATGAAGTTATGCAATGTATACCAAAATTATACAGCCACATTTGACGTAAATAGAATGCTCTTGATGTTGAAAGCTTAGGTAACGGCATGGTTTGTTGTAGATCCATTGTGATGTAGCACATATTATTGTCACTTATTGGCTTTTGCCTATCTACTTTTTGAGATTCAAATGCAATGCTACAGTTTTCTTTATGCTCTATAGTATTTTCTCCAGAATCACATGTGCTACATGTGTCACTTTTTGGATATCCAAATGATAGATTGAATTTAGTATCGAACACATGGCGATACATGGAAAGTTTAACTAAGTATTTTTCACCAATTTGTTGTTCATCGCATCTTTTTAGGTATAGTTCATGCATTTTTGTTACATTTAATAATGGTGACAAATACTTTCTATTCTGATTTTTGTTTCGAGAATAGTGAGAGCTCTCAGCTGGAAACATTTGAACATGTTCAGTAATGTATTCTACTACCGCTTCACCGATCTTGTGAGGTCTATTTGTATGTTGCCCTTGTTTACTTGGACTTGGAGCTGATTGACCTTGTTTAAGTTGTTTTTGAAGATTTAATATTTTCTTTGAGCCAACTTGGTACAGCGAACAAATTGCATCCTTACAGACAGATATTTTTTCTCTGTCGTAAGTTACTGAGTATTTAAAAGAACATTCTCTTAACTTCTGCTTTTTACCTCCAGAACGAATTCGGTGTCTTGAAACTTGATTTATGTCAATGCTTTTAAACAAAAGACAGGTTTTTGCGTTATTTTCTAAATTATAAAACCTTTTCAATATAGATTTTCTAGCTTCTAAGCTGAATTTGGTTCCACACTTTAATCTGCATGTTGCTTTACATAACACTAAATCTTCCTCAATTTCTTTTGCTGGTATAATTTTTCCATTTTGAGAAACATATTCCAACCCTTTTTCTTTTTGTATTGCTGCCTTTTTTTTCTTCCATTCAACAGGGTTGCGTTCTCTTTTACGAGCTTTCTTCTCTTTAAGCTCAAAAATTTTTTTCGCCGTCCTGTGAGGTTTGGAAACATCAGCTCCTTGTCCTTCTGCGGTAACATGTACCGCACTTTGACTGTCTTCAATATTGGGTTTTATTTGAAATTTCTTTGTCTTATTTTCAGCATTCACTTCTGCTTGGTTGTCTATATTCTTCATGTTTTGTTCCTTTTTTTCATTTAACAAATTTTTGTTAGGAAGTTTTTCAGAAAAGATGTTTCGTTTAGCATCATGTATTTTTTTGGAAAACATTTTGTTTGTGGTTTCTTCATAGTAGTCTGATTCATCCGAATAGCCCGTACCTGAAGGAACGAATTCATCACTGGACGACACATATCCGTCTGCTTCGCTTCCTGACTCATTGCTTTCTAAAAATATAAAACTATATGTAGTAAAATTAAAATAAATTTACTACTAAGAAATTATAAACCTTTCCAGCCAGGCTTACGTATGGTATCCATGTGTTTTTTCATTTTATACCAAATATCTCAAAAGCACAAAACCAAATTTTTTCATATTAAAAACGTTGGAGAACAATTTTATTAAAATTTAGACAATGCATAGTGTCTATCTGTCTATGAGATATTGAAACACTCCAAATAACCGATATTACAAAATAATTATTAATACAGATTAGAAAATACTAGATAACTTTAATATTATCTTAAATTATTATTATATTAACTTGTCAACGAGGCTGGAAATGTCAAATAAATATTCCCTTACCGACAAAATTTCCGGAAGTCGATGGTATCTGCATGTCTGCACAATACTGTTTATTGGATAAATCGTTGAGTTTACGGGTATTTAAATCTGACGAACTAGGAGGAAATACACCTAAAACCAACAATATTGTAAGTATGTGATAAAAACTACAGTAAAAAGCATTAATTGGTACTTTGCATAAAACAACAAGTATTAAAAAATATATGTATATGAACCTTTATATAATAATGTAATATTACCTTTTTTAACAGTATTCTTTTCTTTCTGTTGAAGATATAGTCTGTAAATTCTTTTTCCTCTACTCTCCATAATTTTTTCGTAACTTTTTGACTTAAAAACTGTAAAAATGTTTGCACAAAGTAAATTACACAATTACATTGATTTTCATAACATAACCTATAAAGTCAAATGTCAGAAAACCAACTGCTGAGCGACTAAAAATTTGAGTGGATAAAGGTAATATGTCCGCGATTTTAGACATAATACCTTTATCCACTAGAATTCGAAAATTTAGTGGGACATATTGCTTTAATACCTTCCTATTTTTTTTAATTAGCTAAAAATAAGTAATTTTAAAATTTTAAAAGGTTAAACAGCATATTAGCAGCACAAAAAACCAATAAAACAATTTTTTCAAAAAAGTGACATATGACCTTTATCCACTCATGTCTTCATTTGCGTTAACTTATTTGATGTTATATCGGGAGTTTCAAGAGCATGTTCAGTTTCCTTTGTTCGGTTTATTTGTCTAATATTATGTTGTCCATTTTTTTTTATTTATGTTGATATCTTATATTAATTCCTTAATTTCTATTATATGTCCCTCTTATAAACGTTTACTGTTTTATTGTTTTCTTCGGCCTGATTTGCCCATGTGCCGTGTTACGAACTCTCTTATATTCATAAGTCCCCTGCGTTCTTTCAGATCTATATTGTATATAAACATTCTTTTTTCCTTCAGATATATTTCTTTCATTTAAGTTTGTGTTTATTTTTATTCCTCCTAGAGGCTTGTTTGCTTTATGTTGTTTTAATTCTTTTCCCAACTAACTTAGTTATCTTCATCGCATGTAACGCTTTGTTGTTAAATTATTTGATCTAGCCTACTTTAATATAGTTTTTTGTCAAAATTGTACTTACTAATTTTAGTTTCTAGTGTTGGTAGTTTGTGTTTATGATTCTGAATCGAATTAAGATGACTTTTTTCCAAAACTAAATTGTGGCCAGTCCCTACGTTAGCATAGATCAGGCTCCCTACATCTAATACTTGCTGGTATTATTAATTTATATTTGTAAGAATATGGTATCTCAATGATTTGTGTCTAGTTGTGTTAAATGTTCTTAAAAAAGTATTACATTGACTTAAATAACCAAAATTATTATATTTCTTTCAATAAATATCAGGTTCAAATTTTTAGAAATCATAACAATATTTGGTCATTTATAAGCTTCTGTTTAAAATATAGGTTACTTAAATATTATACTTTTGCCGTTTTTAAGATCATAAATCTATTTTGAGGTATCCATTACTTAAACAATCGCGAAATGAGATAATAACTTTCTTGGCTTAAATAGGAAATAAAGAGGGGAATCCCCGAATGATCGAAATACGCAGTGAGCGAATTGACAACACCGTATGAGTCTATAAGGTCGTGTATATCGAGGCCCCAAGACCACAATACGGATAAAAATTATACTAATGAGGCTGTAAAATCGGAATCGGCACGAGGTGGTAATGATAGGAGAACCGAGGGGGAGAGTATATGTTAAATTTTGTTTTATCCAAATAGAAACTAGGGCATTAAGAATGTTTTGTTACCTGTTTCGATATACACGACGACTAAAATATTATATACACCTGGAAATAGGAGAGGCCGTAAGGTTGCGCTATGGTTTGAGTCCTTAAGGATAGTAGGATGTAAATATATATATATATATATATATATATATATAATATATATATATATATATATATAAATATATATATATATATATATATATATATATATATATATATATATATATATATATAACCAATTTCAGTCTTACAGAAAAAAAATCCGAAATGTTAAATACAAAAAAGCAAAGCCTATATTTTTTTACTCTTCAAGATTTTTCGTATCACGAATACTTTTAAGTTATTTTGAACAAGGCATTTTTTCAAAATTTCAAAAAAAGTAATAAAATAAATTAGTGGGTTGAGGAACTTAGCTCCAAATGTTGTTGTAGGGTGCTTTATCTCACCGACACTGTTTACAATTTTTGTGACATGAGCGTTAGATTAATGCAAGCAAAAATGCAATGGAATGGTAATCGCAGAGAAACTTATTATATATACAAGTCGTATTAGTGATTGATATGGCGATCATTTAATATTATTTAATTATACATTATTTTCTTCATTGGTTTATTAATTTTTTATCCAAATAACTCTTGATTCTTGAATACTAATTAACTTTTTTTAGGTTACAGCTATCGATGACGATCCTAAGGAGGCAGGAGGAACAATTAGTTACAAGCTAATTCATAGAGAAGGAGAACACGTTTTATTTGACATAGACAACGTAACTGGTGTTTTGACAACTATCCAGCCGTTTGATCGGGATGAACCAGTAAGGCAGAAGGAACTTTATGTAACCGTACAAGCTTCAGACAACGGCAGACCACCATTAGCAGATGTCTGTACATTTACAGTTACCATTACCGACATTAATGATAATGCGCCACAGCTTGACAAACTGGTAAGTTCTCCATTTAGTACAGTTAAGGATGTGATACTCAAATATTACGATTTTTAGAAATACGACGCACAAGTTTCTGAAGATTTAAAAGTAGGAAGTGAAGTAATGCGAGTTTTTGCTTACGACATTGATGATGGGGAAAATTCAAGATTATCATATAACTTTTCAAACCAAAATGTCCAGTTCAACCAATATTTCAGGATAGACAAAGATACCGGCGTTGTGTATTTAAAGGAAGCTTTAACAGATGTAAGTTACCCTACAATTTTTAAATTCACTAAATCACGCTAAATATTGTTAATTTTTCTAGAAAAAGAATACTAGATTTAACAGTGCTGTTTACGTGTCCGATAATGGCGTTAACGATCAAGAAGGCCAAAAAGATTCAACCGCTAATATATCTATAACAGTAGTGGGATCTGATAAACAGCCTCCTAGATTTACTCAAAAAATACCTGATGGAATCTTGGAGATCCCCGAAGATTTTAAAGACTTTTCTAAACATATTGTCACAGTCGAGGCAACGTAAGTACTATTTGTTAGTATAATTAACTCATCTTTTACCATTGGTGCAACGCACCAATACATAACGCACCAGTTCAGTTTTAATTTTTTCTTGACATCAGTAATCAAATATTTTGAAATTTTTATTAAGTCATTTGATTTTTGAAGTTCCATACAACTCATAAAAAATACACCCTTTTATGTAACAAATAAAATAAGTCTACAATAAATATTCAAAAATTAGTAAAATTGGTGTTGTCCGGACGTTCATCTTTTATGTATGTTTTGAACTATTGATTTTCCGTATATTTTAAAAATATGTTAAAATTAGTAACAGGAAAGACGAAAATTACAATACTGTACGAGGAAATGTTTGTGTCTTTTCAATTTTTTTTGTAACGTTACCCCAAGCACCAATGGTGCGTTAAAGCACCACTGGCTAAATATTTATGTAGTTTCACTACATACAATCTCATAAAATATCAGTGTCAACCGCTTATCCCCACTAACAATGTTATTGGATTTGGGCTTGAAGGACCTAAAAGTATTGGAATGTTGTATTTTTATCTTTTATGTTAGTCTTTTTAGAAACGCCGTTGAGTTTGATTCTGTTTTTTTCTTGGTGATAGTAAATTACTCATTCCATTCTTGTTATAATCATGCCTAAATGTCTTAACACAAAAACACCTTGAAGAAGCTTTAGAGGAGGTAGTTGATGAGTTGGAAAATGATGGTACGTATTTTCATTTTACATTGTCTTGTATGCAGACTACAGCAGCTGTAATTTTTAGGTGAAATAGATATCGTTTATATTCCGCCAGACGAGAACGAATTAACTGATGAGGAAGATATTCCAGATCCAGAGGGAATTGGAAATGAATTTATAGGCCACAATAAAGATATTGCCGGCACTTTTGAAATCCACTCTAGTGAGCAAGATTTACATGATGTAGGAGAAGATTTGAATTTCGTAGCGGAATCTTCGATTCATTACATACAAACAGTAAATCCAGAAGTAAGAAAGAAAAAATCTGAAAGAGAGTCCCAAGTGGAAAAAAGGTCAATTTTTGCATAAGCAATTACCTGAGTCAAATGAAAAAGCATCTACTGAATCTCTGAAGGCTTTGGAAGGACTGACACCATTAGAAATTTTCTTTCTATATTTTGACTTAGATATTCAATTCAGATATTCAAGATATGATTGTTCAATATTCTTTACAATATGCTTATGCCAATAACAGACATGATTTTAGTCTAACTAGAAAAGACCTTCTCAACTTCATTGGACTTTTAATTTTATCAGGATACCACACGTTACCTCAAACCCACATGTATTGGTCACTTGATGAAGATAAAGGGGTACAGGTTGTAAAAGACTGCATGAGCCGTAACAAATTTACCTCCATAAAACGCAATTTGCATTTAAGTGATAGTGGACAACTTGATACCAGTGATAAATTTTGTAAATTGCGCCCATTTTTTGACAAAGCGAATGAGAAATTCATGCAATTTGGTGTGTTCTCACATATATCTATAGATGAAGAAATTTTTCCGTACTTTGGACGACACTCGTGTAAAATGTTTATCAAAGGCAAGCCAATAAGGTTCGGTTTTAAACTTTGGTGTATTTGTTCAAGTGATGGATATATGTACAAGTTCGTGCCCTATCAAGGTGCATCTGCTGAGCCAGTTGATAAAAAACAATCATTGGGTACCAGAGTTATTCTGGAGTTATTATCAATTATAAAAAATAAGAATAATCACAATATTTAGAACACTGAAAGAACAAGGATTTTTTGCAACAGGCACTATAAGAGCCGATAGAACAGAAGGGTGTCCTCTACAGTGTCCAATTCTAATGAAAAAAAAGCCCTAGGGGTTGTTATGACTCTTAATTTGAGGAGAATACGCACATTTCTTTAGTAAGATGGCACGATATCTCAATAGTTACATTGATCAGCACTCATTACCATATTGAACCATTGGAAACTGCAAGGAGATACAGCCGACCACAAAAAAAATTGTTAGTTTTTACAGCCTGCAGTTATTTACCAATATAATAAAAATATAATAATAGATTTACATGACAATGGTGTATCTAACTACCGGATAAAGGTTATGGGTAAGAAGTGGTGATGGCCCTTATTTAAAAATGTCTTGGATAATATGATCGTCAATTCGTGGAAAATATATAATATAGCAAATGATAATAAAATGTCGCAAATCAATTTTAGATCTTACCAGCTTTGCGACTTTTGAAATTCGAAAATACCAGAGAATCTCAAGCAGCTCCAGTAAATGTACCAATTTCGCACAGATCATCTGGATCACGTTATCTTTAAACAGAAGAAGCGTAGACGTTACAGAGTGTGCCATAATCATACAGTATATACGTGCCAAAAGTGCAAAGTTTATTTGCACGCCAACTGTTTTTCGCAATACCATTGTTAACGGATTTAGCCAGTGGTACGTTTACGCACCAGTGTTTTTTTTTTTTTGTTATATTTTTTTCTTAATTAGGCTTGACTTTAATGAATAAAACTACTTTTGTCAAATTATATTCGTTTTTATTAGCCTTGGTAAAAGATGGGTTAAAATAGTTTTAGAGGGTATTCACTAGCATTAATTATTTCAGTGTGACTTACTTGTACAAAAGCATTTACTGCCGCGCCACCACTAGGAAATTACTTATTAAAAAGTAATATCGTGGCGCCTATCAGTATTAATCACTTGTATACAAGTTTTATTGAAAATTATATTACTGAGTTTTAACGACTTGTTTACTATTGCTGTGTGGCAGGTGTATAACATTATAGGTGTAACAATTGTACTTCGTAATGGGCGCCAGTGCATAAAGAAATTGCTGGTAGCTTTATTGATGATAGTTTTGATTAATCATAAATGTTTTCACTGGACACTACTCACACAGATATCATGTCTGTAAAATAGGTAAAGTGGATAGAGCAAAAACAAGCGCTTGCAAGTTAACTCCATATGTCCAACTCATTGATATTTCATACAGGGTGTTTTAAACTTAACCGCCAACATGTGCAATTTAAATCATTTATAAGTTCTTCTTCTTCGCGTGCTATATCAGAACTATCCGGTTGGCGATCACCATTGCGAAGGCTTCTCGATCCTCTGCAACATGGAACAATTGTCCAGCATTCGATATCGGAGTCCCTTCAGGAATGTTCTTCAACCAAGAAACTTTTTTTCTTCCTACACCTCTACGGCTCTCTATTTTGCCTTTAAGGATCAGTTGTAATATTTTTGTATCGACCCCTTACTATATGTCACAGATAAGACATTTTTCGATGAAAAGTCTTTAGCAGTTTACTATCTTTGTTGACGCTCCTTAGTACTTCTTATTAGTTTTCCTTGCTGTTCAAGGTATCTTCAGCATTAGTCTATAAACCCACGTTTCCAATGTTTCAATTTTGTTCATGATTGATACTTTTAACGTCCACACTTCTGCACTATACAAAAGTACTGACCAAACATAGCATTTAACCATTCTTTGTCTTAGTTCTAAACTGAGATGATTATTCCAAAGAAATGACTTCATTTTCATAAAAGGAGTTTTAGTAATTGCTATTCTACGTTTTATTTCTATGTCTGGATCTAGTTGGTCCGTTATCGCAGTTCCCAAATATGTCATTTTGTGAACATTCTCAACTTGGACTCCGTTTAATTGTAGCTTTGCATCGGGATGTGGATCACGACTGAACACTAAAAATTTGATTTTGTTTGAGTTTATTTTAATGCCCATTTCCTCTCCTACCTCGTGAATACGATCAAGCAGAATTTGGAGACCTTCAATAGTATCTGACAGAATTACTTCATCTTCTACATAATCACATTAAGTAGTTCCCCGTTGATTTTTATTCCATATCTGACCTTGTCTGACTCCTCGTTGTATGGAGATTTCATAAACGTTTCATAGTTATCTCCAATTTTTATGATAGCAGTTTGATTCCAGTACATATTTTTAATGACATGAATATCCTTGTCATCTATTCCGATACTTTTCAGTATTTGCATCAATTTTACATGCTGTACTTTATCGAATGCCTTTTCGAAGTTCACGAAACATGCAAATACATCTTTTTTTTTTGGTCACGGCAATTTTGCAATAGGCAAATTGCAAAATCACGGCAATTTGATTGTGAAGTATTCTTAGGAAAATTTTAGGAGTGTGACTCATTAGGTTAATTATAAGTTACTTACTTCAAATAGTATTTTGTTACATTTTCCGCTGTAGTTTTTTAAGCCAATCGTTTGGTATGGGTATTTCCTATACCCAAATCCAACCAATTTTGAGATATTTCATTATCTAAGTTAAAATGTAACACTTGATTTCCATTTATTTTTTCACCAACTACTTCTACAACATTTATTAATCCTTTTCATCAAGTTATACCTATCTTGTAATTCAGAAAATATAGTCGTGTGTTAGAGAATTAAAAGCAAGTAAGACTCTCTGCATCATATCTTCCATTGTCGTAACAGGTTTGGAAAATACTTGATTTTAATGTAGCCCCAAATGCCAAAATCTAAAGGAGAGCGAGCGGCCCAACGAAACGAGCGAGATGTGCAATCCATCTATGATCAAGCGTGTTCGTAAAGATGCTGAGCAACAGGCCCAAAGGTGCTCCATCTTGCTGATACCAAGTTGAAGGCGCCTCTCCACTTCTTAAATGTAACTCTGGTCTAAAATGGCTGACTTTAAAGGGTGGCAATATTTTCACCATTTAAATTTTCATCGTAAAATTTGATCGTCTTTTAATGCACAAAAAACATTAAAACTCGCATCTTGGAAATAACGTTCTCTACTAATATGTGGATTTTCATTAGACCAACAATGGGAATTATGTCGATTAAATAGTCCATTTTTGCTAAACTTTGCTTCATCAGACCATATAACTTTATTAGGAAGTTTTCATCCTCTTAATTAGTTATTTCCTTCCAAATGATTCTTAAGTTCTCTAGGTACGTTAGATATACTCACATATTTGAATTCCTATAAAATGGAAATTGTGGTTAATTCTCATTGAAGTTAATAAATAAAACTTGTCTTCGTTGATTTAACCTTTAGGAAGTCATTTTTCAGTTTTGAAGTGACTGACAGTAACGATATGTACGATGATAACACCATAGTTTTGATTTAGAACTATAATTTTAAACATAAACTTTTTTAGGTCCAACATTGCGGATCCACAACTTGCTTTTGAGTTGGTAAAGGGAAAGACATATCAAACGAATAAAGACCAAACATTCCTTTTAGAAGCAGAAGGAAATAAGGCACACATCAAGCTAGTACGTCCACTGGATTATGAAACAGTAACGGAATATACTCTAACTATTCGAGTTAAAAATAAAGATTTAATGGATTCCTCTATAAATATTCCAATTAAAGTATTAGACGTGAATGATGAAATTCCCAACTTCCTTGAATTTCTTAAAGGTAGTGTCGTGGAAAATGACAAGCCAGGTGCACAAGCGATCCAAGTAAGAGCGATCGATAAAGACGGAACTGCTGCCAACAACATCGTGAGTTATGAACTTGTTGATAATACAGATTTGTTTGCAATAAACCGATCTACTGGAGTAATTACGTCGAGGGTTGAGTTTGATCGTGAAGCTGTACCTCTATACCACGTAAATGTTAAAGCTTATGATAACTCTCCGTCTGCTTTGTATAATACAACTTTGCCTAACATTGTAATTCAGACATTCCAAATCAGTATAGAAGATCAAAATGACAACAAACCTGTATTTACTCACCCAATTTATCAGTTCAGTAATATTACTGAGCTTGCTGATAAATCGAGTATTGTTGGAGAAGTTAAAGCTTTAGATAATGACACGGCTTCAGTTATAAGCTATAGTATTACAAATGGAAATATTGACGATGCTTTTATGATTGAAAATTCCACCGGAAGAATAAGAGTTAATGGAAAATTGGATTACGAGAAAATCGAACAATACAACTTAACCGTTCGAGCATTTGATGGGGCGTTTGAAGATTTTGCAATTGTTTTAATTTCCATACTTAATGAAAATGACGAGCCTCCAGTTTTCGACGACTATATCAGAGAAATTCAAATTAAAGAGGAAGAACCTATGATAGACGGATGCGTTGTTAGAGTGACGGCTCATGATCCAGATATTAAAGACAGGCACAGTGATCAACACATAGTATATGAGGTCGCGAAGGAACAGAAAGATTTTTTGACTGTATCTGCCGATGGCTGCGTACAAGTAACAAAACCTCTTGACCGAGATCCACCTTTCGGTAGTCCAACACGACAAGTCTTCATATATGCTCGTGATAATGATGGAGGCACCAATTCATTGTTGGCCACTGCAGAAATTGAAATTATTTTGATAGATATAAACGATAATGCTCCGTTTTTAAATGTTACAGAAATTGTTTATTATGAAAACCAGGAACCCGGTTTTATAGGTAATCTAAGTGCCGATGATTACGACGGTCCTGATAATGGTCCTCCGTTTGCTTTTCGGTTATCAGAAACTGCTTCAGATAGTATTAGATCAAAATTTTCCATTAACAGAAACCAGCTTTTTGCTTTAGAAATGTTTGATAGAGAAGAGCAAAAATATTACGACATTCCAATTGAAATTACAGATAGCGGAGTACCTCCACAAACAGGACTTAGTATTCTCAGAGTTATAATCGGAGATGTAAATGACAATCCAGCTGCAGACGGAAACAGTACGATCTTTGTATATAAGTACGTTAATGGACCAGAAAATTTTATGGAAATCGGACGTGTGTATGTTACAGACTTAGACGATTGGGATTTAAATGACAAAGTGTTTGTTCAAGAAGATTACTTTGACGAATTTGTACTAAATCAGCATAACAACGGTATGATTCTGATGAAACCAACAACAGCTGAGGGAACCTATGAAGTTCATTACAGAGTTACTGAAACCCATGAACCCACAATACACGAACATACAGTTAATGCTATAGTGACGATTACAGTTAAAGTACTTCCAGAGGAAGCTGTTATAAAATCTGGATCAATTCGATTAAGAGGAACATCTAAGGAAGAATTTATTGAAAATTCAATTGTAAGTATATTCTTTATATTTTCATTAAAACAATCTAACAAGTTTTGTTTCAGAATGGAAAGAGCAAAAGAGACATATTGCACCAAGAACTCTCTAAAATATTAAACACATCTTTAGCAAATGTTGATGTATTTACTGTCTTAAATTCACCCCACCAGAATAGTTCGTTTGTTGATGTTCGATTTTCTGCACATGGATCTCCATATTATGCTCCAGAGAAACTCGAAAACAAAGTTACAGATCATCAACTAGAGGTAAATTAAAAGCTAGCTTAATTATTTAAATTTCTCAGTCTTAGTTACTGCTATATTTCTACTCCTTCCAATCACTAATTTATTTTCAAAAATACTACACATGGCAAGAATAAGTTGATAATTTAATTGCAAGGTATATTATTTTTTCAACCTTTCAAGTTTCAAAGAGTGCAAAATCATATAAGATGTTGCTTTTCCATTCCCTAGCATTTCTACCAGTTTGCTGCTTCTTCCTCAGCTTTTCCCTTTTCAGGGGTCCAAACCATTGCAGTCTTCGTTCTTGAATCTTTTTTGGGACTGTAGTCACACCCGGCTCTTTTCCTAATTAAGTCGTAAAGATCCTGTCTCTTTTAGTCTTACCCAACATCCACCATAACATTTTCATTTCAGGTACCTCCTTCTTCTATTCCTGAATTTATTTATATCACACTTCGCCGTCTTACATCAACGCAGGTCTCACCACACTCTTGTAAATCTTTCTTTTCAGCCCTTGCCTGATTTTTCGATTACAAAGTACCCCACGCATTCGTTTCCAGTTGAACCAACCATGTGCCTATATCTTGTTGGCTATTTCTCATCCCATTTCCGTTATGTAGGAGCCAAGCTATTTAAATTCTCGTACTCATCCTAGTTTTTCTCCAAGCAATTCTGTCCCCAACCATTCTTCTTCCTCCCAACCATATATACTCCATTTTCGACCTGCTAACCTTAAAGCCGCGTTTTCACGATGACAATTGGCGAGACAATTGTCATCACGTGGTTGCGGATTGTCGGAGGCCAGTCCAGTTGAACGAGAAGAGGTTTATAAGGGGCCAACTATTACCATGCCAGTAGACAGCTACAAATAACACAAACCAGGTGTATGTTTTGACTGACACCAGAGAACTAGAGGGAACTGGCAAAAAATAAGACAACACTACTGTCCTACACCGTGAGGGCAGTTGGCAAGGCAATTGGCCTGAAGTTTTTAGACGAAGACAATAATTTCATACCAGTAAGTTGTCTTTTCACAATTGTCTCGCCAATTGTCATCGTGAAAACGCGGCTTAAGTCCTCCCTCTTCAATAGACCTTCTCCAGCACTCCAATTTCTCCTCCAACATTTCTTTGCTCACCTCTACTAAAACGATATCATCAACAAAGCGCATTGACCAAGAAGCCCCTGCCTTACTTTATCTGTCAGTACATCCATAACAAGATTAAACAGGTAAGGACTCAGTAAAGAGCCTTGCTGCAAACCAACTATCACTGGAAAACTTTCGGTCAATCCTACAGCAGTCCTTACTTTTGTGTTTCCTATCATGTGGTGTTTCTGGTTATTATTTGGTTTGATCGATTGGCATTGGCTGGCTGTTAACATTTTACTTTTGTTGGCTAACTATATAGTTGTCAAATCCGGGTCCGTTCTTCTTCTTCTTCTTTACAGTCTTTACAACTCGGGGTGAGTCTTCGCCGCATCCACTATCGCCCTCCATCCTCAACGATCTTGCGCTTCTATTTCCCATCTAGTCCGTTCTCCATTGGAAATATAAATAAATCGGTGATTGTTTTTAAATTTACAAAAAATTCACTTTACATGAACATTTATCTGTTCATTTCGAGAACCGGTCGACAGTGATAAGGAAGCATTCGTCCGCTCGTTTGGAGTCCCGATATGAATTCGAAAATTGTTCACTTTTCTATATGATTTCGATTCAACTGTATTGAAAATAAGGTAAAAATAACTTTATTATTTCAGCTTGAACAAAAATTAGATGTGGAATTCTACATGATCAACGTAAATGAGTGCCTTAACGAAACAACGTGTGGAGCTGAAAACTCGTGTACGAACAAATTAAATATAACACGAGAACCAGCTGTAGTGTTTACTAATAGAACGTCTTTTGTCGGTGTAAATGCATTTATTGATCCTGTGTGTGCCGCTTTACCAAGAGAGGTTTTGGAATGTTTCAACGGAGGCGTTCTTATCGAAAACACAGCGTGTGATTGTCCTGCAGGATTCGAAGGACCACATTGCGAAGTCCTAGCTATAGGATTTACAGGAACTGGTTGGGCTATGTATCCATCTTTTGACGCTTCAAACAGGACTGAGATTATACTACATATTTTATCACAGACTGATAATGGCTTGATCTTTTACAATGGACCTTTGAATATAAGACAAACTTCTTTGTCTAAAGGTAAGTTCAATATTTTTTTATTAACCCTAATGCTTTAAAAAAGTATTTCAGTATTTTTATAAATGTTTCTGAGTTTGGCCTTGTTGACAAATACATTTCTTTACTTAAGCAAAGGTTTTTCCACTCCTAGATTTTTGGATTTAATAAATACGTTTTTTCGAACTAGTGAGAGGAATAACATAGGGGCAACAAAGATTTCTCATTTGGCTTCAGGACCTTTCTACACTGCTTCCTGAGAGGTCGTTACTTACACCCTAAATATATGTTTTAAGATTTCTGATACGTTCTAGACCTGCTCTAATCTCTTTTGGATTCAGGCCTTACTTAAATCGATATTTAAAAATACTTAGAAAAAGTGTGGCATGTAACAGGATCCCGTCCCATAGTTTTTAGATGACTAAGGTTTTCTTTGTTTATTTATTCCTACTCCATTCTAATTGAGAATGCATCGTCCTTCGCATCATCAAGTGATCATAAAACACTGCTATTTCATACAATAGTACGATGGCTCTCAAAAAGAAACATGTTGGCAAGATTATTTGACCTTCGAGATAAAGTAATCACCTTCTTGGAACATCAAAAGCAAAATAAACTAAGCGTGGCCTTCAAAAAACATTGTACCCAAGTAATATTGGCTTATTTATAAGATATCTTTGACTCGTTGAACAGTCAACTTAAAACTGCTGGGTGGAGACTCCAAATATAGTTACTCATCGTGATGCGATCAAGATGTATATTGAGAAATTCATTTTAACAAAAGGGCGTGGTACAAAAAAGTTTGTGTAACAATAAAACACTGAAAACTTTGTTTTCAAACTTCTACAAAATTTATTTTAATATTATCACTACAGCTGTTTCGGCTGATTGCCTTTCTCAAGTGATCTATTTTGGCTTGGGTTTATAAATTTTATAGTCTCTTGGGTTTACAAAAAAGTTTGTTTGAAATGAAATGTAAAAAACCCTTGTTTAAACAGTTCTTGGTTCTCCCTAAGTAACTAAATTTCTGCTCTATGAGGCCAACACTGGCTTATTATTGTTCTATATACGGTCAGCTTTATTTTCCTGGGTAGTTTTGATGCAATTTATTCTCTCATATCGTATTAACTTTATTAGCCAGCACTATTCTTCTTTTAATTTCTTCAGTAACGTCGTTACCTTTAGTCGGTAACTGTGCAGCAATGAGCTAAAAAAGGAAATCTAGATTATTACCCAAGTCAACTTACCTTGGATAATCATCTAAATCTTGTGGAACTTGCAGATGTAACATTTTAGAGAGTGAGCCTACCTTTTCTACTTAGGAACACGCATAACAGGTTAAGCAGTATATTGATAGTGGTAGGCTTGGGTTGTTTACCTGGTTGCTTGTTTGCTTGTTGTTTTTATATTTATATTACCTACTTTAAAGAAAAGATGCAGAGTCGGCTGAGCGTTTTTAAATAAAAATAAATTTAAAAATTATTATTAAAGCAATCCGCAACAGTAACAATCCTAGGTATATGAAGGTGTCTACACCATCCAGTTCTATATAATTGATTAGGAGTCTAGGTATTTGATTATAGGAGCACATGTCACTTTGTCATTTGGGCATTTATTTTAAGTCCTATTTTCAGTGCAGATGCCTTTAAATAAAGCATGCTTCAGTCGGGGCCTCTGTAAACCTTGCAATGATGTAAATGCTAACCAATACATATGGAAATTCAACTACATCTACAGATTTATTAAATATTGTACCATTCATGTTAATATGAGAATCTCGAATTACTTTCTCCAGTGCAAGGTTAAATATAAAGATAGCTTTACATCTAGCCCATGCTATACAAGTCCGTCTTGCATGAACATATCTTTTGCCTAGCCTGATCTGTTTACATCAGATCTATTTTTGTGCAATTTTGAGAATTTGAGTTACTACTTTCACTGCTGCCAATAGAAGAAACATATCAAAACATTAACTTTAGATATTGCTAAGTTCTAGTTCTAATTTTTCGTCTAGCATAGATATTGCATGAAAATGTCGCGTGGTCATGCGCAGTTGCATAATCTGTTTGCATAGCATGAAAATTGCATAATGTAAAGTCAACATAAGACGTAAGAAGGCTAAGAGGAGCGGATGGAGACACGGATCATTTTCTGGTAAAAGCGAAGATAAGGACAAGAATAGTGTCCAAAAAAACACAAAAATACACCAACACAATTACGGAATACCGAAGTTCTACGTCATAAGGACAAAACAGAAATTTCAAAAGGCTATAAAAATCGCTCTAACACAGACAGAAGACTATAACAACATAGACTCAGCTTGGAAAAATATTAAATTACCTCTGACAAGCGTATCAGATGAAATACTAGGACACAAAAGAGAAAACAACAAAAAAATGGTCGATGATGATTGCCTGAACTCCATAACAGCAAGAAATATGGCTAGAAGGAACATGATACAAAACCCCTCGCACAACAACAATGAAATGTATAGACAAAGAAGAACAGAGACAAGAGAACTAATGAAAAGGAAGAAGGGGGAGTATCAAGAACAAATAATCAGAGATTTCAGATATCAAGACCGGGTACCAAGCAAGAACAGGAAACTTCCTTCAAAACGACAGCAGGCAGCTTATCGCTGATGACAAGGGAATCCTAAAAACCTGGAAGGAATACTTCTATCAACTATTGAACGACCAATCTAGCGGAAATACATCAAACATAGAGGTACATACAGCTGAAATAAAAAGACCAATACCCGACATACGAAGAAGTAATAACAAGCAATTAAACATGGAGGAGAAGCGTTGTACAGTTCTATATACAAGCTAATTCAAGACATTTGGCGAGAAGAAACAATGCCAGATGAATGGAAAGAAGGGGTTCTTGTACCAATACACAAAAAAGGAAACATAAAACAATGTATTAACTACCGGGGAATAACACTCCTAAACACCACCTACAAAATCCTTGCAAACATCCTGCTAGAAAGAACCAAAACATACACAGAAGAAATCGTTTATCAATGCGGATTTAGACCGGGCCGCTCTACTATTGACTAGATATTCACAATAAAACAGATAATGGAAAAATGCTGTGAGTTTGATCGTGAGCTTCATCAGATGTCATAGATTTTAAACAAGCATTTATAGAGTATGCAGGGTCAGACTATGGACAGCGATGCAGGAACTTGGCTTTCCAAAAAAACTAGTCAGGTTGATACGGATGTGTATGGATCGGTTACGATGTAAGGTGAGAGTTGGACAACAATACTCGTAGACATTTGAAATAAACAATGGACTAAAACAGGAGATGCACTTTCACCACAACTCTTCAACTTAGCTCTGGAGCGCATAATCAGAAGTACAAGAATCGAAAAACCGAATACAGTATTTCATCGAGAAGGACCAAACTTACTACTGGCATTTGCATACGATAATCGATCTAATAGGAAACACACGATTAAGGATGAAGGCTTTCATGAGGTTCGAGAAGGAAGCAGAGAAGATGGGGCTCCAAATCAACGAAATATATGTATATGAAGCTGCAATAACCAAAGCAGAGACAGAATCGGTCAGAACATCACCATCGATGACTTTAACTTTGAGCGCGTTAGAGAATTCAAGTATCTTGGAACAACAATAACTGAAGATAATAACGGATCACAAGAAATAAACAACAGGATTCAGGCCGGCAACAGATGTCTTTTTGCCCTCCAAAACCTTATAAAATCGAAACAATTAACAAGACGTACGAAGATACAGGTCTATAAAACAATCATACGACCCGTTGTGATGTATGGAAGCGAAACGTGGACGATAACAAAGGCAAACGAAGAGAGACTATGTGTTTGGGAAAGAAAAATACTAAGAAAGATCTTTGGTCCTGTGCTGGATGAAGCATCAGGACAATATAGGATAAGAACTAACAAAGAGCTCGAAGAACTCTACCCAGACGCCAACATCATAAAAGAAATAAAGTCCAGAAGACTCCAATGGGTAGGACACCTCAGAAGACATTCTGACGAACGAACGGTAAGACGTGTGGGAGGAAGTCCCAACTGGAGGGAGACTACGCAGACGCCCTCTGTCTCCAGTGGCGAGATAATATAGCAGGAAACCTAAGCACTATGGGCGTGGAGAATTGGTTGGAGGTTGCTCAAGACAGAAAACAGTGGAGGCATGTTGTCGAGTCGGCTAAAACCCACGAAAACTGAAAAAGGATTAAAAGACAATGGGAAACAGCATGTTTTAAACAATTTTTGAATTTTGCCTTTCTTTTGAAGCTGTATGGACACTGCTTTTGCTCCACTAATAACAGTTGTGTTTTTCTTGTAATCTTATTAAACATCGCCTGGTAAACAAAATGAAATTTATTATGTTTACGACCACTATATTATTAAGTTTTTTAATATAATTTATTAAAAACATTTTATTTTAGATTACATATCATTAGAACTCAAAGACGGATATCCATTACTTCAGATTTGCACCGGCTCCAGCACTCAAGAAATTTATCTAAAAGAACGCATACACAAATTGAGCGACGGATCGTCACATAAAATAAAAATAGGATCTGGATTTGACGTAAGTGAACAGTGCACATTATACCATTTATTTGATAATTAGTGTTTATAAGCTATAAAAATTAATGCGTCTGCTATGACAGGCAATTAGGTACTACAATAATTACCATAACGTCGATTTGAAAAGTTTTCTTTTGCCGAATACATATCTACCTTTATTCTTTGAGGTTGGTTCAAAGAATGTTGCCAATTTTAATTGTCTTAAGACACCTTCAGACAAAAATAATGAATGTTCCTACTGTAAAACTATACAAGATCTAAAAGTGACAAGCACTAAAAAAGCTTGTATACACTAAGAATTTAGAGCAATAGCAAGATAAGGGCAGCAATCTGCCTCATTGTTCATACTATACCTTCTATCTTAATCTCTTTTGTAATTTGAAGAAAATGTATACTTATCAGAAATTTAAGTTATTTATTTTTCCACAAAGAAAAAGTTAATTTCCTGTAATTGACTGTATATCATAGATTACAAAATTTTTTAATAAAAAATCCTTATAAAAGGTATATATATTATATATATATATATATATATATATATATATATATATAATATATAAATTAAAAGAATCCTTTCGATCTAAATCACAGAACTTTTTAGGAATAAAAAGTTCATCATATTCCATCTTCAGTGCTGCTACTATGATGTTACAGGAGCACTCTCAATAGTGATTTACAATGTATATACATTATATAAATCCCAAATCATGATTTACAAGGTTTATACATTGTAAATCATTATTCGGGAGTGTTCCTGTAACATCCAAGTGTCTCGGTTTGTTTATTTCTAGTGCATCTTGATTGTGATTTTAGTATAGGTATTTATGTTTAAAGCCAATGACTGAAAACCCTTTAAATGTTATTTAATTGGTATTAAATTGCATCGTTGTTGATAATTTCTTGGGATGTTATGATATATAATGATATTGTAAAACGGATGGACGAACAGTCAATGTTGTATTGTATATGGGTACTGGGTATACATGTAACACTTCAGGTTACATGTATACCCAGTAGCAGCACTGAAGATGGAATATTTATTCTAAAAACATTCTGTGATTTAGCCCGAAAAGATTCTTTTCCTTTTATAAAGGATTTGTTAATAAAATTTCTATCGTAGCAAATTAATTTTAATGTCATTTATTCTTGATAAAGTAATTATATCAGACAGTGTAGAGAGCCTCCCATATTCTACTGAATCGTTTCTACGAAGTAAGAAAGGAAATTGGTATAAGTTGAAGGATTGAACAACCTTGCCTATTTACCACAACGGACCAACTTGATCCAGATGTTTAAATAAATCGTAGAATTGCGATGATTAAAACCACTTTTTTTTAAAATGGGAACATTTCTTTGTAATAAATAGGTACCTCTACTTCGAATTAAGCCAAAGTACTGTATTGATTATGTCTCATATGGGATAGACGCATGGACACTGTATTTGGCCTGTGGTCACTGTGAACGCATGGACACTACAACTACCAAAAATGAATGTAATTGAAGCATTAACAGTGTGGATACATAGACGAATTTTAAAGATTCGTTGAGAAGCTCAAATGGTTAACAAACAGAGAATTAATAAAAACTATTGAAAAATATCTTATTGTTGGGAGTGGGATATAGGGGTATCTTCTTTGTTGACAAACATTCAAGATTTGACCCAAAATACGAAACGCATGGTAAATTTTTCGTGTGATTGAAGCGTGGTAATCGCTAACGTCAGATAATTCTGATACAGCACATCAGAAATTAGTAAAAGGATGATTAATTGTTAGTTTTAATATTGCTGCTTTTAATAATTGTTTTGAAATTAAAGTATGTCTTGTTTTTTGTAGGATATATCCTTAGAAGTAGACGACTGTGGTACCACGTGTTCAATTTGGACTAATAAACTACATAAAGGTGTGATAAGAGCAAATGGCCCCCTTCAACTGGGAGGTATGAAAAACAGATTCAAAGACGAAGAATTCAAACGAATTTGGGACCATCTCCCACCGACTTCGACTCGTTTCTCTGGTTGTATTAGAAATTTGACCTATAATGAGTTTTACTACAATCTCGGTGCACCTTCTGACGCATATCAAGCTTATCCCGACTGTAACTACGCCGTGATGCAAGCTGTAACTTTTGGCATCGACTCAAACTTCTTGGTTGCTATTCTGGTTTGTGTAGCAATTCTGATAAGTAAGTACGATTTTTTCACCTCCACTACTATTTTCTGTACCATAAGACTTTAATTAAAATATTTTTGGATAACTGATACCTGTACATTATTTCTGTGTTTGTTTAACGATATAATCATTTGTGATGTTGAGCAGCAGATATGTCAATCCTGCATTAAAGCATGTTTGGTACAAATAACAGGTGGTATTCATATAATGGTTTAACCATCTGAGAAATAGTGAACTATCCTGGATTAGAGAATATATCATAATAGTAAATCTCTAGAGATATATTATAATAGTAAATCTTTAGTGGCATCAGAAAATATCAGTGACAGTAGACAGAGATATGTGGAGTCTTTCTCTTCAAGCTGTCATCTTTCTTGTTCAAGTTGTTTTTCTTCTTCTTCTGGTTCCTATCCGTTTCGGATTTTGGAAATCATATTGACAATCATAACCTTGCTCGCTGCGGCTCGAAACAGCTCCGTTGAGGTTTTCTTAAACCATGTTCTTAAATTCCGCAGCCATGATATTCTCCTTCTACCGGGTCCTCGCTTACCTTTGACTTTACCTTGCAATATAGACTGTAGCAGGGAGTAACGGTGCTGATTTTCATAACGTGTCCCAGATATTGCAATTTTATGCGTTTGATCGTAAACACAATCTCTGGTTCCTTCTTCATTTTTCCTAGAACTTTCTTGTTCGTGATCCTTGCTGTCCATGATATTCTCATCATTCTTCTATAAAGCCACATCTCAAATGCTTCAAGTTTTTTAATAGTGGTGTCTGTAAGCGTCCATGCCTCCGCTCCGTACAACAACACAGAGAAAACATAGCATCTCAAATGTCTCATTTTTGTATCAAGGGATATGTTCTGACTTTTGAAGATGGCGCTCATTTTGTTAAAGACCGTTCTTGCCTTTCCTATGCGGCACTTTATTTCCTGTACATTGCTCCACTGTTCGTTTATAATAGTTCCCAGGTAACAATACTGTTTTACTCGCTCTATCTGCGTCCCATTAATGTATAGATGAGCCCCGTTTATATTCTCCTTGCTGATAATCATTTGTTTCGTTTTGTGGGTATTAATGTTTAGTCTGTACTGTTGACTGTACTCGTTTATTCTGTCCATTAGCCTCTGAAGTCCCTCTAAACTATCTGCTATCACCATGGTGTCGTCGGCATATCTAACATTGTTTACTCTTTCACCATTTAGAAGGAGGCCTTCGTCTATTCCGTAAAGAGCCTCGTTAAAAATTTTCTCTGAGTACATATTAAATATCAACGACGATCGGATACATCCCTGTCTAACTCCACGTAGTATTTTTATGTGATCTGTTTCTTCTCCGTTAATTTTCATGTATGCGGTCTGATTCCAGTAGAGTTCTGAAATTATTCTGAGGTTTTTGTCATCCAGGTCTGCCTCTTTTAAAATGTTTATCATCTTTTGATGTTGAACTCTTTCAAATGCCTTTTCATAGTCGATCAAGCACGCGTATACGTCGCAGTTAACGTTCCTGCATCTTTGAATCAGTACCTGTACTCCGAAAAGTGCCTCTCTGGTACCCACTGCGTTAATAAAGCCGAACTCTCTGTCCGATATCTGTTCCTCGCACTTCTTATAAATTCTTCCATGGATGACTCTAAGAAACAGTTTCAACATGTGGCTCATTAGGCTGATTGTTCGATATTCTTCGCACTTTTTAGCCCCCTGTTTTTTAGGTATCGCTATGAATTCTGATTCTAGCTATTTATCAGGGATGATTCCTGTATTGTATATTTTATTGAAGACAGCCGTGATCCAATTTATTCCTTCTTCCTCCAAGAGTTTTAAAAATTCAGCTTCTTCTACCTTGGATTTAAGTATGTTCGGGCCCGTCATCCTCTCTGAAAATGGATGCCTATAATCCGTTCTTTGATCTTGAAAAAGTGTCTCCAAATATATTCTCCATTTGTCTTTCATCTCTTGGGTGTCAATGATTAATTTTCCATTGGTGTCTATGAGTTTCATTTGTGTTCGCTTTTTAAAAGTACCCGTTATTTCTTTTACCTTTTTGTGTACATTAAAATTATCATGCTTGGCTTTTAGTCTTTCTATTTCTTTACATATCTCTACAGCTTCTTTTTCTTTAGCTTCTCTTATTTTTCTTCTGATGTAAGCCTGCATTTTTTTTATACTCATCTTTCTGCGTTCTATTAAGTGAAGGATTTCTGGAGTCATCCAAGATTTCTTCTTTGTTTCTTTGTTTGGTTTTAGCAGATCTTGTTTAGTTTTAGCAGATCTTGTTTAGTTTTCTTAATTCACAGTTCAAGTTGTACTGTGAAAAAATCTTCCAGCAAGCATTATATGAAAGACAGCAAGCTATTAGTCTCAACGGTGCTATTATCAGTAATATTAGATACGCAGATGATACGGTACTTCAATCGAACACACACTGGAGTTCTAAGAACTGTTAAACGTCAAGAAAACCAAGTGGCTAGTCGTAAGCAAGCAAACTAACATATTACGTGTTCTGGAATACGGATGAAAAGCCGTAGAACGTGTTTAGCAATAGATATATTTAGGCTACGCTCTACATAAAAACTGAGACAGCGGAAAAGACACTTTTTGTTATTATTCGTCCAACTTTTTATCAGTGTCATGGGTATCATACCAGGTGTCATACATAAATATTTCGTTTCATTTTTCAATCCTCAGTTATCTGTCTGATATAATTGTTTCTTAAAGAAATTATTCTACTACTTTCCATTAGTGTCTGGCGCCTGTCTTGGTGTTGTACTTAAAATTATTGGTTTTAAGAAATAAACAAAGTGTTGATGCTGAACATGAGAGAATGTCCTTTCGAACCAATTCACTTCGCAGAGTTTGCGCAGCGAAAGTTATAAGAGGTCGATTCATTGATAAAAAGAGCAAGCAATAAACAAAGTCTATGCATAAATTATCAAAAAAATCCTGAGTAAATCCTAAGTAATGCGGTACCTGAGATATTTGCCTCATTTGAGAGATGTCAGTAAATGACATGGTGTTGAAATGCTTACATCGACAAAGTACACCGTGCATCAATTAAATGTAGCTTAAAGAAAAATGGAAAAAAGCTATGTTGGAACTCGAACTTAAAACCGCGTAAGAAAGATTATAACTGGATTTCAAAAACATCAGGTGGTCTTTAAGAATAATATATTGGAGACCCCTCGTAGACAAAAAAACAGAGGTAGACTGCAACACGTTATATGTTGACAATATAAAAAGAGTAGAAAAACACTACACTAGAATAGCTCAAGAAAGAGCCCGGCGGAGCAATGTAATGGAAATCTATGTCCAATAGTGGACTAAACATCAAAATGGTAGGTGGTAGCGATGATGATGATGATTGTGATAGTTTGAAAATAAACATGAGTTGCCCCTAACAAGTTGTTAGTTTTCAGCTTTTAAGGAAATCCAACAGGTCAATTTATTTTTCTAGTTTTTCACAAGAGCATTCAAATGAGATTTTACTTGCCATATAATCTCATTTAGTAAAAGCGCGGTTCGCCATTTTTAAGTCACTAAATCATCAAAAGACCAATTTACAGATGCCTTAGTCAGTTATCCAAAAGTTTAATTATTAAGTTTAATGGTTCTTAACACCTTGACTGCGTAACGGAAAATCTGTACTTTGTGCTTCTCTGCGTTACATATCGCCGGCGATATGTAAGTACACTTAAGTTTTGTGCGTTACAAGTCCCCGGAACATGTAAGTAAAGTGACAAATTTTGACATCTCTCAAGAAAAGTATCTAATTTTATCAAACGAAAATAATAATTTATGAAACCAAAATAAATTAACTTTATTCTACTTGTTTCGTAGCTCATACATATCAAAATAAACGTATACCACAAGAAAATAATAACAAACGATATATCATTTTTTAGTAAATATTCTAAGAAAAAGTTACTCGTGGTGTTTATTAAAATAAGATAAGTAAAATCCAGGCATATTTGGACAATTATTACAAAAACTTGTTACACGGCGAACTTTTTTGTCAGCTTCTCTGCTGTTTAAAGTTGTTCGTAGTGTTTGGTAGTTCAGCTAACTGTTTCCTGAATTCCAAAATTCCAATATTAGTTTGTGCAACCATATTGTAGACCACCCATGCATTAACTAATGATGTACCCAAAATTAATTCAAACATGACTTTTCTACAATAAAATAGCAATATAAAATGCTGAACAATTTGAAAAATTATGTAACTTATCTATACCACTTCACAGATTTTCTTACTGATGTATGGTAAGAAGACATTTGATCGCTAAAATCTACCCCCTTTTTAGCTTTGTTATAGTCGATGACGCACTGTGGTTTCGAAATGTCATCACCTTGTCTATTACGTTTTCCTAAAATAGTAAAAATTGTAAAGTACTCATTATCAATAAAATATGCTACATTACCAGTAGCAGTTAATGTCGCATCATGACTAGGATCACTTACTCCGTGGCGTTACAACCCTTCGTGGGTTTTAGCCGACTGTTGTTTTCATGCCTCCACTGTTTTCTGTCTGGAGCAACCTCTATCCAATTCTCCACGCCCATAGTGCTTAGGTCTCCTGCTATATTATCTCGCCACCGGAGACGAAGGGCGTCCGCGTGGTCTCCTTCCCGTTGGGACTTCCTCCCACACCAGTCTTACTGTTCGTTCTTCAGAATGTCTTTTGAGGTTCCCTGCCCATTGGAGTCTTCTCCTATTAGATTATCCTATTAGATCGATATCGTCTGAAAATGCCAGTAGTAAGTTTGGTTCTGTTTTGGACTAGGTTCACTGGATATCATTAAGACTGGTCGTTTATCAAACCATTTTTTTTTACACCATTACATTCTTGTCCAATAACCTGTCCCTTTTTTAGCTTTGACATATTTATTTTGGTATTCCTCGTCTATTGCTCCTCAACGTTCCACAATAAATCATTTTTTGCCTTACTATATAAATCTTCGACTAGCGGATATGCTTGATTAAAAATTATCTCCATAAATGGTCCTCCCCTCTTTTGGCTCAACTATTTTCAAAAGTTCTTTTGCTATTGCATGCGAATGACCTTGTGGTGCAGTTGTATCTCCCTTTCCAGCATACAATTTATATTAAAAGTATATCCATTTGGAGAACATAGTTTATATAGTTTGACTCCATATTTATGACATTTGTTAGGGATGTATTGCCTAAAATGTAGTCTACCCCTGAAAGGCACCATTGTCTCATCAATAGTTAGAACCTTTCCAGCGTTTAGAATATTATTATATTCTTTACTAAAATGTTTAATATGTTTCGAATTTTGCTTAGTCTATCACCAGGTGGTGCATCCTCATTATTGCAAAATGTATGAATTTGAAAAGTAACAAGAAACTGTCACGACGCATTGTTATATGTTAGGACTGACAATAAGAGTTTATGAATGGCACCTTTGTAATCCCCATAACAATAAGAATAGCGAAAAACTTACGAATTTCATTTATATCTGTATCACTCCAACTTTTAACTCTTGACTTCTCGGCATGTCCTTTGTTTATTTGTTGAGTGGCATAACGATTAGTTTCTGTGACAATAATGTCGAGAACTTCATTGTTTATGAAATATTTAAAAATATCAGCAGGGCCTGTAATTTCGGTTAGATCTATGTTATCATTAATTTTACAATTCTCAATATACATCTCAAACGGATAAGGGGTAATTGTTGTATTTTTCCAAACACTAGAAATATTCTCCGAAACATGTGTAATTTCATCCTCATTATCAGACTCGAGCTCTCATCAGTCTCTGAGTATACCAGTAGCTTGTTTTGTTCGTCAGAAAGCATGGAAGCGATGGATCAAAAGTACGATCTAATACAGAATCGTCACTATCAAAAGGATCAAAATGTGATGAATATGCTCGTTCTAAATTAACTTGTTCGGCTTCATTTGTCGCAATGATGCTAACAATTAGTCCACTCTGGGTTGAAAATCTGATAAAGATTCTTGGCCTTAAAAATCAGCTTGATCGTCATTAACTACACTTCTCCGCGATAATTCTAATATTTTTTGCGCTCTATAACCTTCCATTGGTATGGTATACCATTAGACCAAGCAGACAACAGAGAAAAGAGTCCACCAACAATAGCAGAGATTAGAACAGCAGTGGACAAATTAAGGAACAATAAATCACCGGGATCGGATCAAATATCATCGGAGCTACTGAAAGAAGGAGGAGACGCATTACTTAAAGCCATACATGAGCTGATAAGAAAGATATGGTATGAATAAACAGCTACCAAAGGAGTGGAATAGCGGCATTATTGTACCACTACATAAAAAAAGAAACCAGTTAGAATGTGAAAACTACCGTGGAATCACGCTGTTGAATGCGGCATACAAAATAATGTCCACGTAATGTATGAAAGACTTAGACCATATGCTGAAAAAATAGTTGGCAAATACCAATGTGGCTTCTGTAGACAGAAGTCAACAATAGACCAGATATTCGTTCTGCGACAGATCCTTGAAAAAACAAGTGAATATAACATCGACACACATCATCTCTTCATAGACTTCGAAAGCGCATATGACAATATAAACCGAGAATTCCTAACAAAAGCAATGAAAGAATTTAATATACCAACACAGCTAATAGAATTGGTAAAAGAAACACTAAAAGTAGAAAGTAAAAATCCGGATACAAAACGAATTAACGGAAACAATAGATGTGAAGAAGGGACTACGCCAGGGAGACGCTCTATCATGCATATTATTCAACATCATACTTGAAAAAATAATAAGAGACACAACAGTTAATACCCGAGGAACAATAATTAATAAAAGCGTGCAAGTACTAGCATTTGCAGATGATGTTGACATAATCGCAAGATCAAGAAGAGAAATGATAGAGGCATTCACTCAAATAGAACGAGCTGCAAAAAATAGTGGTCTTAAAATCATCAGACAAAAACAAAATATATGCCTGCAAATAAAAACGCACAAATAAAGCAGCTGCCAAATTTAACAATAGGAGAATACAACATTGAGGCGGTAAAAACTTTACATACTTAGGATCCCTAGTTACGTCTGATAACAACGTTGCAGAGGAAGTGAAGAGGAGAATATTTATTGCCAATAATGTTACCATGGCTTAATTAGGCAACTAAGATCAGATAACGTCTCCAGAAAAACAAAATGCCAAATATACAAAACCTTAATAAGACCGGTACTCACATACGGTTCAGAAACCTGGACACTCTCTAAAAGGGAGGAAACGTTATTGGCCACCTTTGAAAGAAAAATCTTGCGACACATATATAAGGGCACAAAGGAAAACGGGATTTGGCGGAGAAGGTATAACTTTGAACTATACAACATATACCAGGATCCGGATATCATAACATTCATTAAAATAGGAAGGCTACGTTGGATTGGACATGTGGAAAGAATGGAAGAAGGCGAAATACCAAACAAAATATTCAAACAAGTGCCAGTAGGAAAAAGAACAAGAGGAAGACCGAAGCTGAGATACGTAGAACAAATAGAAAATGATATAACAACATTAAAAATTAAAAACTGGAAAAAAAAAAGCACGAAACAGGTCAGAATGGAGAAGAATCCTAGAACAGGCCAAGACCCAGAAAGGGTTGTCGCGCCAGTGATGATGATGATGAAGATGATGATGATAACCTTCCATTTTTTTATAGCCCTTTTTCTATCCGAATTGTCGAATAAAGGCCTCTCCCATTTCTCGCCATTCATCCCTGTTGTGTTCTAGGCGTTTCCACATTGGTTCTGCGACTCTTTTGATATCGTCCGCTCCAGCGCATTTGAGGTCTTCCTCTTGGTCTCTTCGCATCGTACGGTTGCCAGTTTCCGACTTCTTTGTTCCATCTACCATCTTCGAGACGTTCGTTGTGTCCAGCCCATTTCCATTTTAATTTAGCCGCTTGTTTCGCGGCGTCCTTTATTTTTGTTTTGTTCCGGATTGCTTCGTTCGTTTGCCGATCTATTAGTGAGATACCAAGCATCTGTCGTTCATGGCTCGCTGTGTTTTTCGAATCTTGTCTATGTTCTTTTTTGTAAATGTCCAGGTTTGAGCTCCGTAAGTGAGAACGGGAAGGATACAAGAATCGAACACTTTGGTTCGAAGGTTTTGGGGTATCTTTTTGTCTTTCAGTATGTATGAGAGTTTTCCAAATGCGCCCCATCCCATTCTTACTCGTCTGCTTATTTCGGTAGTTTGGTTTTCTTTGTTTACCTTGATATTCTGACCCAGATATATGTATTCTTCTACATGTTCCACTTTTGTTCCTTGGATGGTTATCGTCGGTTGATCATCTTTATTTGACATTAGCTTAGTTTTACTCAGATTCATTTTCAGTCCTTTTTTATGGATTCCGTATGAATCTCATCGATCATCGTCTTCAGTTCTTTCCAGCTGTCGGCTATTAGTACTACGTCATCTGTATATCTTAGATGGTTTAAATACTTTCCGTTTATCGATAGTCCCTTCGTTTCCCAATTTAGTGATTTAAAGATGTCTTCAAGTGCGGCAGTAAATAGTTTTTAAAAACCTTCCATGGCAAAGAGTAAATCACAACTAAACGTACAACGAAGAACAACAATACTGTAATCCCCTCCAAACATGCCTATAGACACGCTTGTACAATTGTACATATCTCCCGAGATATGTACTTTAATATCTCTATAGCTGGTTGCAGAATTTAAAATTATATAGTTGACTACTGACAACAAAAATCTATTACGAAATATAACGAAGAATCGTACTTCGCACACATTATGTCGGTCACCGAATTTGAGCTTAGCACAGAAGTAATACAAGATACATACCTCCGGGGATAGGTAACGCAGTCAAGGTGTTAAATAAAATGGGTGGTTGGCGGATTTTAGGTGATCACTGTATATAGGAATATTTTATTAATTTCTGAATTTTGTTTTAGTTCTTCTTTTGGCAGTAGTTGTACATAGACGTAAACACGACAACTTTAACGAAAAAGAAATCGATGATACTCGCGAAAACATTATCAACTACGAAGATGAAGGTGGCGGCGAATGCGACACCAACTACGACCTGTCTGTTTTCCATCAGAACAACATCGTGGACGAAAAACCATTGATGAGAGACAACGCCGATGTGCCTGCAGATATAAGTGGCTTTTTAGATAACAAGAAAGACAACTGTGATAAAGACCCCGATAATTTGCCTTTCGACGATGTTCGCCATTATGCCTACGAGGGAGATGGAAACAGCACCGGATCTTTGTCTTCTCTCGCTTCATGTACGGACGAAGGAGACTTAAAGTTCAACTACTTATCAAGTTTTGGACCCAGATTCAGAAAGTTAGCCGACATGTATGGAGAAGATCCAAGCGATGAAGACTCACACGATGGAAACGAAGAATCCTGGTGCTAGACTAAATTCCATGACTCCTTAGAAAGTAACATTTTTGTACTTAAATTCTTTTATGTTAACCAAAGATTGCGAAATTTTTTGGAATGGAACTGAACAAACTTGTACATATTTTTGAAAAAGAACGTTTCAGCTGTTTACAATAAAAGAATCGTTACGTATACAATTCAAAACATGTATGTGTAACCTTTCTTATGTTGTAAATATTTTTATACTGACTTTATACTGACACTTAGATAATGTTATCGATTGAGTGGCAGGCAGTTTGGTTAAGAATAACTTTGAGTCTTCTATCCCAAGGTACTGTGATTTGAACAAAGTTAGAATAAGCAACTTTCATACCATCAATCCACTTCATTTTATTCAACATACTGGTTTTCCACTTGTTTACAAACTAAAACAGCCTAATACATAGAGTACAATAACCAATTTGTATTAGGTGCACATAATCAGCGCACACAACTATTGTGGAACTGTACACTGACTAGGAACAAATATTCAATAAGGATCTTTAGATCGAAAAATCTTGAAATTCATGACCAGATTTGACATTGTCTAGCTCAAAAAGAAGAAAATAATTTTTATTTTTAAGTAACTTTGACAATAGACATTTTTCATTTATGGGCTAGTCGATTTATATGAAAGTCTATAAAAAAAAATGCTTAAAAGTTTCTTTGATTTTGCGATTCTCTTGAATGACTTCAGTATTTTTTACAAAATTATAAGACTGTTATTCGTTTAAGCTGGCAGCATGGTAAGATAAGTAAATGGATGTTTGTATATTTTACAAAATAACTGAAAATTAGTATGTTGCGAAAAACAAATGGAAACAAATATACAGTGAACACCGAATAGTATTGTCAAAATTAAAGTCATAATTTATTTTTAATGGTAGTCACAAACTATGTTTCTAATGTATATCGATTGCCCTTTGAATCCAATCCTTTAGCCATCGTTGTCTATATTAGGTGTTTCCTTTTGCTGTTGTCGTACTCACGATGGTACGAGATAATCATGTAGTTTTCACGATCTTTTACTTCTCTTTTTGCAGCTAATATCGTATGGTTGTTCCATTACCAATATTTAAATGCTTTCTCTCTCATCTGGACTATTTTAGAAACATATAGATGATATACTTTTATATATAACTTTATATTAAATCCTTATATAACCTTTATATTTAACTACAACCTTTGTATTAAAATTAGTCTGATAAAAATTAAATTTTTTGGATTGAATATTCTATCAATTATATATTCAGGTTTTCCCGATGTAGAAAAGTTAATATAAGCAAAATCAGCGTCATATCCCTGTAGTGTGAATTTTAATTTATTCTTCGTTATAAGGACAGTGCTCTCTTCATTATTTCTAATTAGAGATTTCAATATTCATGTCAGAATTTCAGTAGTGATCTTACCATGTTCTTTGTCTTTTTGTGCCCTTATTTTATCATATACTTTACATTGTTTTGTTTATTTTATATTTCTCTATGTCCTTATCTTTTTCTCTTTGACTATCACAGTAGTTAATTTTCGTAACTAGGATTTGTAATTAGATATGACTTTAATTAAAACAATACTCATCATCTCTTTCGTTAAATCGCGCGATATAATTTATCAACTATGTAGTATCGACTACAACAAAGTAATATGGAATATACGAGAGGCCTTACGCATATGCCTTAGCACGTTTAGGCACAAATACCATTATAAAACTTACACGGTTCAGCAATAAAATGAGAGGACCGCTATTTTATATACATGCATTTTTTCTATTTTTATTAGGATTTTTGTTAGTTTTGTTATTACTTAGTATAAATATAGGTTAGTTATTTTGTATTTTTGTTCTCATGTAGGGCTCAGTCGACGTAGTACTTTGAATAGCATTTTATTTGAAACTGCAGGTTTGAGAACAGCCATTTATCGGTGCCGTAGTTTATAAAAGTAGGTTTTTAAATCTTTAATTAATAAATATATCGAAATATAGTTTTTTCTTTACGTAAGGCAGTTATATTATTAAAATAGTTTTATGAAAGCGTGTAACTAATTCACAGTTTCTAAATTACTCTTAAAAGGCAACTACCTTCATTGCAATATTTCCTAAGCTAAACTCATTTAAAACTTTAGACTCAAAAATATACAGTGACTGAGTTCTACTTGGATTCCATTTCATTGACTATTTAATATTTATTTTTACAAGTCTTGATGAAAATTAGGAAATACCTTATATCAAAGCAATTTATAATCGTAATTGGGCTAATAGTATCCTAAGGAGATAGTATTTCCTGATTTTCATCAATTGGATATATATATTATGTGTATTAGTATCACAAAATACAGTCTCTAGAGACCTGTGTCATAGATAAGTCAACCTTGCATTGTTACTCATCTTGTTAACGAGTCGTTTTTCAGCGGTGCCGGTTGTGAAGATGCGCGTCTTTATCAACATCTATTTAATGTTACAAACGGCTAAAACCGGTTCGTTAACAAAAGCTTTTATATATTTATTTATTTGTATTTGGAATGTCCGCGTTGAATTTTACAGATGCAGTAGACAGGGTAGCGCGACGAAATATTCATTAAATGCTAATTGGTCAAGATCAAGTATATTAAAATGATGGCAATATAATAATTACATTTACAGGTACATTTGTCATCTGCAATAAAATTCTAGCTGCTAAATATTGACGCCAATGTAAAATATCTTTACTGATTACCTGATGTACAACTACAGAACAATTTAAATATACAGAGAGTGGCACAACAAGTTTTGATAAACTTACTTTACTTTTTCGTGTCTGGATCCGACTACAGTTTTTCTGTCCAATATTGGGCTACGTCTACACCCTTTGTATTTGCGAGCCATAAATCATCGAGGGTGCACTGTGATGGGCAAAGTCTGCACACTCTCAGGTGCTCCACGTGTATTTCCCTACATTCACAAAGTGCTGTCTTGATGCCCCATTTAATGAGGTTCTGTTTTACAGGGGCAACACCTGTGAGTATACGGTTGAGTGTCCGCCAGGTCCTCCAGTTCAGGTTCATTCCATTAGGTCGTTCGAACAGTTCTGGTGGTTCGATGTTAACATTTTTCATAAACCTTTTCCTTGATTTAAGTCGGCTGATTCCTGGCGTTTCGTCAAATCCGTATAATTGGTGCCTTTCATCGAAAGTTTGCCTGAACTTCTTCACATATTGTGAGGCGCAACTACGGTCGTCTGGTGATGCGAATCCAGGTACCCGGTACAGTAGGGGTAAGGGGGTAGGCTTCATACAACCGGTAATTATTTTACATGTTTCATTTAACGCCGTGGTGACTTGTTGGGCGTGTCTAAATCTACCCCAGACACGACAAGCATATTCCTCTATTGAAAAACATAAGACTTCAGCTGTTGACTTCAAGACCTGTGGGTTTGCACCCCACTTGCTCTGATATTTGGGCCATATCAGTATATTTCAAGCGTTGTCCCTCCCAAGAAACATTCAGTTTTACCAGCGCCAGTTGGTTGTTGAGATGGAATGCACATACTTGGGTTTTAGTAGGGTTTGACTTTAATGAGTTTTGTTTGTAGTAAGTTAACATCATGTTTAAAGCCTCTTCCATTGTCGACTCTACTTGTGTGAGTGTTTTCCCCTTTACGGCTATACCAAGGTCGTCAGCGTAAACAAAACTCTCAGTCTGAGGGTGCATTGGTTGGTCGTTGGTGTAGATGTTAAATAAGGATGGCACCAGAACGCTTCCTTGAGGTAGACCATTTTTTGGGTACTCCATCTGCTCTTCTTTCCATTTAGCACAACGTAGAAGCGTCTATTACACAACAGTGTTCTAATGATATTTACCAGGTCATAGTCAAGCACAGTGTTATAGATCTTAGTTAGCAAGGTTCTGTGGTTTATCGTATCATAGGCCGCTGTGAGGTCTATCAAGGCTACTCCCACTATCTGCTCAAATCCCTCCTCTATGTATCCTGTTAGGTTCAGCATTTGGCCTATGCATGATTTACCTGGTCTGAAGCCTGCTTGTTGTGTGATTAGTTTTACATCCTTGTGGATTTTACACAGTTCAGACAAAATTTCCTGTTTATTACAAGTAATACCCTCAATGTTTATGGTCATCATTGTCAGTGTAGGCTCTGAGAAGAGCCGTTGATTCTTGTTTGTTTGTTCGGATCCAGTGGTGGAAGGATTGGCCGTCCGAGGGACGTTTCCAGGGAGCGCCAGTGACATTTTGTTCTTATAATATCACTTGCGTGGAGGCCCCTTCCGTGCTCCCCTTTTGATTTTGATTAAAAGTAATGGCGGATACAGTTATGTTAGAAATCTGAAATTACGAAGATATAGGTTCTGGATGACGCTGAGTTCAAATATAATCTTGTCCTTGATATGTCACTTCTGATTATACCGAAAAATAGACGTCAACTTTTATATTAAATAGAACCTAATATTTTTTATTTTATTTTCGAATTCTACATGAAATTAAATAAAATTGTGCATGTCACTAGCCTCGTTATTAATGGATATATTGTTATTCAATGTGGACTAAAATTTTTTCAAAATGTTGAAAAAAATTGACATCTCGAAAATACTTCATTTTTAGAATAGGACATTGTGCACAAATTTTATCTAAAATTTCATGTAGAATTCGAAAATAAAATAAAAAATATATTAACATTATATTCCAACTCAGCGTCATCAAAAACCCACAGCCGTAATTTCTGATTTTTAACATCTCTATCCGCCATTACTCAAAACTGTCGTGACACACCCTGTATATGTATGTACATCAGCGACGGCTTGTGGATATATAATTGGGAAGAATTAAAGTCCATAATACATTTATCTACTATTCTAATGCGGAATTATTGCCAATTCAAAATAGCCAATACAATTTTTCATTTTGTGAATAATTCCCTATTGTCTGATTGGAGGTTTATCTATTTCACTATTAATAACTTTTTCTACACAATCTATTAATTCGTTTTTGTATCGCAGCCAGATGGTTAA